GGAAACTGAGGCAAACGGGGTTAAGTGACTTGCTCAGGGTCAGTCATACAACCTAGTGTCTGAGGCCAGATTTGAACTCAGGAAGATGAGTCTTCCTGACTCCAGGACTGGCGCTCTATCTACTGCACCACCTAGCTGCCTTATGGGATATGTGATAGATACCAAAAGAAAGTTTAGAGGTTTAACTTGTGGTAACAGAATTCTAAGAATTCCTTCCATATATTGGAAATGAGTAAAACCAAATTTCCATGGCCATTGATTGAATCACTAATCTCCGCCCACTATCTCACAAATGTATGCCAGTGGTCTCAAGAAGGACAACCACAACTTCAATTCAAATTCTTATTATTTTTCTTGTGGAATACCGCAGTAGCCTTTCATTTGGTCTCCTTACTTCAATCCATCATCCACTCAGCTGTCAAGATGATTTTTTTCTAAAGCATAGGTCTGACCGTATCAACTGCTATTTGGTGAATCCTAGTGGCTCCCTATAACCTCCAGGATCAAACATAAAGACCTTTGTTTGGCATTTATAGCTCTACACAAACTGGTCCCTTCTTACCTTTCTAATCTTACTCCCGTGGTGTCAAACACACAGCCTGCAGGCTGCGTGCAGCTCACAACACTCCTAAGGGCCATTGAACCAGATTAAAATATAATTGGGAAATATTGAACAAAATAATAAAAATATAATAAAACAAAGATAATATTACATTTTTAAAACTAGGTCGGTATGCAACCTATAGGGAACCTTATGTGCTTATCTATTGGAGATTGTCACCACTTCCTTACTCGACTCTACAAATTCTAAGATCTAGCTATATTGGCTAGATCTTACAGTTCCTCCAACATGACACTTCATCTCCACCTCCCTGCCATTATACTGGCTGTACCCCATGCCTGGAGTGCTTTGGCCCTTCACCTTGACTCATTTCCCTGGCTTCCTTCAGGATTCAGTTCAATCCCACCCTCTGCATCCTGTTGATGCCTCTCCTTTTCAAATTACTTTAATATACTCTGTATATATCTGGTATGTATCTGTGTAATAGATGAGGGTGTCTTTGTGTAGCTTGAAAAGGAGCACAAGAGATATCTCTAGCCTCTTTTCTTCCCACCTTACTCCAAGGGAGACTTATTCCTGACAGGAGAAGCAGAAGGTTGGGCCAGAAGCTTGACCCTTTTGCTCTCCTCAAAGAGCATCTCCTCTAATGGGCTTGAATTTTATCTATCTACTCCCGTAAATACTGTTAGTCTAGGGGATATTGTTTTCAGGTTCAGGCTAAACTTCTGATTGCTGTTCATTAATGAGGAAAAGGAGGACCCAAGTTTTATACATAGAGCTTGACTTCCTTCCCACCATTTTGTAACTCCCTTCAACCTCTGCTCGATTCAATCAATTCTGGTTATCGCTGAAGGATTCATCTTGTCAAAACAGTGGATGAGAAAAGGGAAGATAGAAGAGAAAGTGACAAGAAACACAAATACTAGTGGCCTGCTGCTTCTGGAACCTCCACCTAGTGACCTGGCATCATGACTATGCTTTTTAGAGGTTTTCTTGTCATAGATCCAGTTCTATAATGAACATACATAGCAAAGAAACCCATTTATCCAAGTTGATAGCAAAAGTGAAATCAGAAAAAGAAAAAGAAATAGAAGAATATATATGTATATATGTGTGTGTATATATATATACACTAGTCAGTATATATGTATATATACATATAATATACATACACATATGTGTGTGTGTATACCTGTCAGTATAGAGTGAAGGAGCTCTCTTACTGAGAATATATATGTATATATGTGTGTGTATGTGTATACACTAGTCAGTATATATGTATATATACATATAATATACATACACGTGTGTGTGGGTATGTGTGTGTGTATACCTGTTAGTATAGAGTGAAGGAGCTCTCTTAGTGAGAGTAAGGTAACTGAGCTCAACCTAGAGAATCCCAGATCCCACCCAAAAGGAAATTCCCCGAAGTCTGTAGTGTAGCAAGCTAGGGATGAGGGCATGATGGAGGCTGCTAGCTTTTCTCATATAGTCTTCTTCCCAAAGCTGTCTTCTTCTTCCTTCAGCATCAACCTGAAGTGGGATTGGCATTGTCCATCTTCACCTTCTTTCTCAAAGCTGGAAGACAGAAGCACTGAAGCAACTGAGGCAGCCCAAAGAGACTGAAGAGTTCTCCTCTCTCCCCCTCTCCAACTCTGCCCAGCCCCAGGGCATTGATCTCTGCCAATGACGAAAAAGTCCCATACCAATGGGCTTTAGGATTTGGGTCAGACCTAGTTATCATTAGAATGGATGCTTCTTGAGGGCAGGGATTGCTTTTTGCCTTTCTTTGTATCCATAGTGCTTAGCACAGTGCCTGGCACTTTGGAAGTACCATAATAAATAAGTGCCTAATAATAATTGACTGACTGAGGTTCAGTTATTACATCTTGTCAACTTAGCCTTAATAATGTTTCTCAGTTAAGCCTCCTCTTCCATGGTGAAACAGCATCATTTAGTGAAAAAAAGACAAGGCTGGAAATCAGACCAGTGACACTGCACCTCAATTCTGATCCATCAGATATAGATAATAACACCTTTCCTACACGGAAAGGCAAAAGAATTTTGTTAAAAGAATCAAAGAAAACAATTGATATGAAAGTTCTTTGAAAATGAATTAAATCAGGGGCTCCTAGGTGGTGCAGTGGACAGAGCTCCAGCCTTGGAGTCAGGAGGACCTGAGTTCAAATGTGGCCTCAGACACTTAACACTAGCTGTGTGACCCTGGGCAAGTCACTTGACTCCGATTGCCTCACCAAAAAAAAAAAAAAAATTTAAATCACTATGCAAATGCAATACATTACTTGCACTGCCACTGACTTAACCCAGGTTTCTCATCACTTCAGCCTGGACTACAGAATTTGAGAACTGAAAAGAACCTCCAGGGCCATTGTAGTCCAGCCTAAACCAGAAAGATATTCCCAATATAATACACTTGACAAGTGGCTCCAATTTTCTGATTTCTTTGATTAATTCTGCATATCACTGAGGGATACCTAATGGCCTGGCATCATGACAATCTGATTAATCTACTTTTTAGAGGTTATGCTACTATGCATCTAAATACATTAGATTGAAAACTGATTGAAAAAAAATTTCTAAATCCTTTTAGGAACCACTGGGAAAACACTATGAATGACTAACCATATTGACAACTTCAATTCCCATAGAAATAAGTATCCAGTCTAAGACATCTCCAAAAGTCTCATGATGGAAAATGCTATACACACCTAGAGAAAGAACTATGGAATTTGAATGCAAATCAAAGCATACTATTTGCTCTTTTTTTTCTTCTTCTGTTTTGTTTTGTTTCTTCTTTCTTGTGGTTCCTCTGATTGGTTCTAATTCCTCTTTACAACATGACTAATGTGAAAATATGTTTAATAGGAATGTATATGTAGCACCTATATCAGATTGCTCAACATCTTGGGGAGGGAAAAGGGGAGGAAGAGGGAGAAAATTTAAAACTCAAAAGCTTATGGAAGTGAATGTTGAAAACTAAAAATAAATTAATATTTAAAAAAAGAAAAGAAATATCTTACTTTTGCCAATGGCAAAAAAAAGAAAAGAAAAAGAAATAAGTATCCAGGAGGGCTGTGAGGCTTAATTATTCAGTGACCCTGACTCTCTTTATCCTCCAACATCTCCCAATCCCTTCTTCCATCTTCTGCTTCTGTACCCTAGAATTATCTTTATGAAATAAGTAAGAAGCTCCCCTTCCAACGTCCCTAAAATTCAGCTTCTCAGATCTACCTATCCTGCCTCAAAACCTCTTTGCTGATTTCTAATCTCACATGCCTTTCAGATATCCCAACTATATGTTCAGTAGACATCTTAAACTCAATTATGTCCTACAGCTCAAGTCCCATCATGTCAAATACACCCCTCAATAAACTCCAGTGGGTTCCTATCACTTCCAGGAGCAAATACAAAATGCTCTGTTCAGCATTCAAAGCCCCACATAACCTAGACCCCTCCTACCTTTGCAGGTGTCATAACCTCCCAACACGTACGTACTCTTTGATGCAGTGACACTGGCCTCTGGGCTGTTGCATGAACAAGACACTCCCTCTCTGGTCTGGCTATCTGGTTATCCTCCATGTCCTCCCCCTCTGTCCTCCCTGGCTGCTTTTAAGTCCCATTTAAAATTCCACCTCCTACAGGAAGCCTTCCCCAACCCCCAGCACATCATAGGCACTTAATATCTGTTTACTGAATTGAAGTGAGTTGTGAGCTAAGGTAGAAGAAGTCACATTTGTTATAGGCTGGCTTGTCCCTGAAGGGTGACAGGTGGCAGTGGTGGTGGTGGTGGCAGGATGTCATGATAAGGAGGGAAGGGAGAGAGGAGCTAAGGTTCAGCCTATTCATTAACCTGACAAGTCTAAGGCGACAGTGGTACTGGAATAAGTATGAGGGGACCCAGGTGCCAATCTCATCCCTGCTTTTTACTGCCTCTGTAACCATGAGCGAGTCATTTAATTCTTCTTGGCCTCAGTTTTCCTATCTGTAAAATAAGGCTCTACAGTTCCGTCCAGCTCTAGTTCTATGATCTTATGACTCCCTGGGATTTAGATGTTCCAGCGTATTTAGGGGCTTCAGTTTCCTCATCTGTAAAATGGGATGAGAGGGGTTGGGGGGAATACCATGACTTCCAAGATCCCTTCCAACTCCAAATCTAGGGCCCTACGTAGCCCCGCCTCTTAGGGGCGGGCAGAAAGAGGGGAAGGGGCGGGGATATAGAAACTGAAAAAGAAGGGCGGAAAAAGGGCAAAAGCAGCTTCACAGATAGATGAGCCGAGGGGAGATTACTTCCGGGCCACCCACGACTTTTTCCGGAGCCGCTGCCTGAGTAAAGCGGAAGTGTCCCGGACTGAGGCACCTGGCTTTAGAAAGAGGAGGAGGAGGTGAAGGAGGAGGGAGGAGGAGGAGGAGGAGGAGAAGGAGGAGAATCCTGGTCTTTCCGCAGGGCTCGGGCTCGCCTGAGGACGCCGGGGGGTCAGGGCTTCCTGTCCTCCCCCGCCCCGGAGGCCCGGGGATGGCGACGGCGGGGGCGGCTCAGGAGAAGCAGTTTCCCCCGGCGCTGCTGAGCTTCTTCATTTACAATCCCCGCTTCGGCCCCCGGGAAGGAGAGGTAGCAGGGGGCGAGGGGGTCTGTCTCGTCTGTAGGCCTGGGGCGGAGGTGGGGAGGGCCGGCTGGGCCGCCCCCGGCGGATTGGAGCGGGGTGTGTGTGTTTAGCGGGGCTGTCCGCCGGCGTACCTGCCCATGCGATTGAGGGGGACCGGGCTTCGGCCGGGGCGGGCTTGGGGGCGGGGTCAGGTCCGGGGGAACCCCGTGGGTGCGAGGCGGCCTAAGGCAAAGAGTTCTTAACCCGGGGTCCCCTCCCCCAAGGGATCCACGGAGAGATGTGAGGGCCCGTGAACTTGGATGGGGGAAAAATGATATCTTTATTTTCACTGACTTCTAATTTGAGCATTTCCTTCCGTTAACTTCAAAATATTTTTCTGAGGAGGCGTTACTAGATTGCCAGAGGGGGTCACGACAATGACCTCCTAGGTTAGAGAGCTGTGTGGACGGACACTTTGGCTTGGCGGAGGTAGCCTCTGACAGCTGTTGGCAACAGAAACATTCTTCCTCCCCTTTCTCCTCTCCTTTCTCCTCTTCCTCCTCCCCTCCTCCTCCTCTTCTCCCCTCCTCTCTTCTCCCTCTTCTTCTTTTTCTTTCCTCTCCTCCCCCTCTTCCTCCCCTCTTCCCCCTCCCCTCCTCTTCCTCCTGTTTCCCTTTCCTTCTCCCCTAAACAGAACCTGAGCTTTCCCCTACAGCTCAAAATCTATTATCTCCCCAGAGCTTAGGACTTTTGGGAGATTCTTTGGATACACACTTTTTTTTTTTTTTTTTGGTCTGAGCTCTTATCTTTCTTCTTTGTTGGGGAATTAAGATGTATGGGAGCTTCGTGCCTAACGTGAGATAATTTGCTGGCAAGGCTCTAGGCACTGATTTTTATCCTGGCTTTTAAAAGTTTTTTCAAACCTTTATCTCTAGGAATTTGTTTTATTTTTAAGTAACTTCTTTTTAGGTTATCTTTAACTCTGTTGTGGGTAGCTAATCACAAACTTTTTAAAGGTTAGCAGTCTTTAAATGCTAAGGAGTCTGCTGTCTCTTAATTTGCTACCACCAATTCTTAGGAAAGTAAGTGGTAAAAAATTAGCATAGGAATATCCACTGGACCTGTGATTTCTTTGGTACAGGAAACTCCATACACCAAATCAGGTGGGCACTTTACCTACAACTTAAAAGAGTCTGAAAGAGCATCCTGGAACTCAGAGGTTTGAGTGACTCCCCCAGGGTTCCACAATCAGAGTATAGAATGTTAGGTGTATTTCAACCCAGGTCTTCCAGGCTTTGAAGCCAGCTCTCAATTTACTAAGCCACACAGCCTGTTAAAATTGAGATAGAGAAAACAAAAATTCAAAGTTGGTGCTTTTAGGGGAAATTGTGTGTTGTTACTTTTGTATAAATGTGAAAATAGACTAGTGATAGCTACTTACCGTGTGTGTGTGTGTGTGTGTGTGTGTGTGTGTGTGTGTGTGTGTGTGTTCTGTGTATTAATGGGGCCTCTGGCTTTGTTTTTAATTTGAAAGAAGAGATGGAGAGTTGATAATTCAGTTACTTTTTCAGAATTAGACCTTCTTTATATAAATGAAGTCTGTCTTTAATTTTTAGGAGGAAAAGAAGATTCTGTTTTATCATCCAAATGAAGTAGAAAAGAATGAAAAAATTAGAAATGTTGGATTATGTGAGGCAATTGTGCAGTTTACAAGGTAATACTTTGTAATTATCATATTGCACAGCTCACTGAATTCTTAAAACTGTCTTAGAGAATTGTCCCAAATTATTTTTATCCTTTTTAGGACCTTTAGTCCATCAAAACCTGCAAAATCCTTACACACACAGAAGAATAGACAGTTCTTCAATGAACCAGAAGAAAATTTCTGGATGGTCATGGTACTTAATATACAATGTATATCTTTCTAAAATATTTCTGATATATTTAAAATTTGAAGCATATCCCACTTAATGTTGATGATTGGGTCTATAAAAGCATGATATTGGGTGGACATAACTTTACAGGCATATATTCCATGGGAACGATGTTATAAACAGATTGGCAACCAAATAACGTGACAGGAGAATTTTACACCTTTGTAGTAGGATTTGATTGTAATGTATTCATGCTGTTATTGTGAAATGACTATTCAGTGCAATCTAATTTGGGTTTTGCCTGTAGATAGCATTTATAGAGTAAGATATTATTAAAAGCCTGGCTGTTGTGGCACCATAGAATTAACAAAAAGGTTGAATGTGACTTTAAAATATCAAGCAAACTTCTAATGAAAGTATTTGTCTTTATACCTATTTTGATAAATCATAAGGGGTTTGAATATGGCAGTATGTTTAGCAAATCAAAAGAAGATTACAGGAATTGCAGTAGAAATAAAACAAGCAACCTATGCATTATATAATTTAACTTTTATCATATGATGTAGGTTGTACGGAATCCCATGATTGAAAAACACAGTAAAGATGGAAAACCAGTTGTTGAATATCAAGAAGAAGAATTACTGGTAATTATAATTTTTTAGTTCATTTTTTAGAAAACCTTGTAAAATATTATTATTATAAAAATACATACTTAGTTGTAAGAATTGTTAGGTCAGAAATTTAAAGTAGGTCATTCTTATATCTGCTTCTCAGTGCATATTGAGATATCTTACAATACATGTAATAATAGTTTATCCTTATATATTATATTACAGTTATATGTTTCATCATTTGATTCTCACAGCAACCCTGGGAGATAGGTAGTATAAATAGTAGGATAAGGTAACATCTGATCCTGTGATTTCACTGATGCACAGAGCTCCCAGGTGAGAAAATTCCCACTACAAATGCAGGTAGACACCTTCTCTGTAATTTATATTCTTAGACTGTTGCTTAAAACACCAAGAGATTAAGCGACTTGTCTAGGGTCACCTAGCATGGGAATTTGAGCCCAGGTCTTTCTGGCTTCCCTGTCAGCTCTTTATCTACTGTATAACACTACCTTGTGCTGTAAGTAGTATTATCGCTGTTTTACAGATGAGGAAACTGAGGCTCAGAGACATTGTGACTTGCTAAAGATAAGAAAGTGGTAATTGAATTGAGCTAGTATTCATATCTAAATCCTCTGACCCCAAGTCCGGTTTTCCTTACACTGCTAGTTAAGATCGATACTTTAAAACAAACTGTCTCTGCTATACTTTCAGTGCTGAGCAAAGTTCTTTCTTTGTAGTAGGCACTTGATACTTGTGGAATTGAATAACTACTTCAGAATCAACTTTCACAAGCAAAGGTGGCATAGAACCATAGAGTTTAAAGTAAGAGGTCATTACTCTATGTATTTGAAAGAAAATATCCTATACTTTTCATATTTAGCTACTATGGGACCAAGTTTATAAGAATCTAAATGTTGGACCAAAAGTCAGTATGAGAGGATATGTTTTTCTTGTGTTATCATCTTGAGATTTATTCTACATTTTGGGTTGTTGTTTTTTTTTTTTTTAATTATAGGACAAGGTGTACAGCTCTGTACTACAACAGTGCTATAGCATGTACAAGGTAAGTTTAACCATATTTAGAACTTGGAGAAAGTTATTAGTTCCCTTTTAGGTGGTGGATGTTGTTAAAATAGAAAGTAATTACCTGCTTTCCTTTGATGGTAACAATAGCTAATAGCTAGCATTTGTATGGCACTTTTAAGATTCACAAACCACTTTATATTTTATCTCTTTTGATCCTTACAACACCCTGTTTCACAGGTAAACACACAGGTAGCACCATCTGTTGGGCAGGAGAACATAGGAGGGCTCCTAACACTAACAGGTGTCCTAGCACAGGTTCACTTTTGATCAAGTCAGACAGAAAGACAGCTTTGAAGAGGTTAAATAAACTTACTTTATTCTAATCTAGTCTTCTCAAAAGGTGTTGCTGATAATGGGAGCACCAACTCCTACAGCATTCCCTAATCACACTTCCCACAGGGGCAGGCGAGAATAGGAGTACAACTCCTTAAAGATCCCCTAAGCCTTGAAGCGGGCTGATCAAGGCAGCTCCATGCATTCCTTTATGTGTTACCCAAATCCCAAAATGGGTTCCCCCCTTAGTGACCAGTGCCCACTTGCTTTATAGGGCAACAGACAAAAAAGGTATCTTGCCACTATTAAACTCACAGGTTAACTTTAGCAATATCGTCGTGACCTAGCACAGCAAAGGCGCACATTATGTCATCCCTATATCTCAATGTGCAAGCGTGGTGGAGATGTTTTCAACAATAATTCATGGGAAATATTATCTAGGATCCTGGAACTATAATCTAAAAAGAATAACAAAATCCTCCTTACACACACTAAAATTCACCTTATTTACACACCCCTAGGAGGTAGTAGGAGCTATTATTAGCTCCATTTTACAAATGACAAAACTGGCTTAGAGTGGTTAAGGGACTTGTCCAGGGTGACAGAGCTGGTGCATAAGGTGGGACTCAAACTCAGGCCTTACCGATTTCAAGTCTAGGATTCTTTGCAATGCGCTACCTAGCTCTTAATAAGAATAGATTTGGCAGTCAGTAGTCTTTTGTGCATATCTGTCCTAGAAGGGAGAAAATTTCAGTTTCTGAGAATTATCACTGCAGTTTTTGTTTTTGTAGTAAGATTAGAACAGTCTTATTGTGAAGTGATAATGATGGATGTGATCGATAGTTTTTGCACATACTTAGGAACTATCCTGAGTTTGTTGCTTAAGAGTAAAATTTTTAAAGTTCAAAAAAGGCAATCACAATCTTTTGGTTTACTTGTTTTGTAATTCACTCTCATAATTAAAAGGGATAGTAAAATAAGTCTTAGCGAGGACAAGGTTGTTATAAGGCAGTGGAAGGTCTTAATATTGGAGAAACTGATATATTTCTGTCTTCTAAACATCAGCTTTTTAATGGTACATTTTTGAAAGCCATGGAAGACGGAGGTGTCAAAGTTCTAAAAGAAAGATTAGAAAAATTTTTTCATCGGGTAAGTTTTATGGCTTTTGTTTCCTTTTTTTTTTTCATTGAAGTCTTGATATATAGATATTCATTGGAGACAAAATCTGTTTTCATCTTAAAAACATGAAACTTAAATATCTAGATAATCAGATGCTGTGATAGCACATTATAGTAGAACCAGATCAAAAAATAAAATTCTTTAGATCTAATTTGATATTGTTTTCTTTGTATCATCAGATATCAGAGAATCATGTAGATTAATCATGGGAGATCAGATCTGTGGATATTATCCAGGTCTGATCCTATCCATTTATATTCAAACACAAGGTGGCCAATCTTTAACCCACTTAAATTTTCTGTGAAGTTGGTACACTTTGGTTTCTTTTTTATATATTGATTCTGTTTAGTAAACAGATATTATTGCTGAATCAAAGTAGAAACTTAGAACTGAACATTTATGATATTGTAAGAATGATGTATAATTAATAGTTATGTTTGTTCCAAGTGATATAAATATCACACTCATCTATATTTTTTGGATATATCTATCTTCTGTTAAAAATGCGGTTTGTGGTGGTTTTAAAGTGATTGCTTTCAATGTTTTCCTCCACAAAACGCTTCTTGATAAGTTTTGAGGGATTCCTTTTTTTGTGTATTATGTCACGACATACTTCATATGACCCACAATTATGAAGATTAACTCTAGAAATATCCTACGGCTTTGTACTCACCTTCATTTTCTTAATGGTATTCCTCAGACTATCCTCTTTTATCTTATTCTATTCCAGCCTGTTACAGTATATGATGATGCCTTTTAATTGTTCAAAGGAGTAGGATATGGGCCTCTAAAAGAAGACCCCACTTTGAGGAAGCACTGATTTAAGGAATTTGGTACTTTTAAAGAAAAGAACAATACATTAAATCATATGAGAGTAAAATGTGAATATAGATTTGCTTATCTCATGTATGGGAAGGTGCACATAGTGAAGTCTGAACCATGCTCCATGTAGTAACCTAACATCACTGACTGGGAGATTTGGGGATTAAAACAGTGTTTTATGTCATTATTTATGTACCAAGATATGACTCTTAATCATTATGTAGCTCCTTTGCTAATGGCACTTTATTTTGTCCCTAATAGCACCAAAAATTTGTCCTCAAACAAACATAGAAATAATGACTATTCACAAAAAATTTTTTTGGTAGTTTTGCTGTTGTTAGAGATTTTGTTTAATATTAGTAAGCTTTTTTTACTTTATATTTTCCCAACAGTATTTGCAAACCCTGCATTTACAGTCATGTGACCTACTTGACATTTTTGGTGGAATCAGCTTTTTCCCATTGGATAAAATGACTTACTTGAAAATCCAGTCCTTTATTAATAAGATGGAAGAAAGCTTGAATATAGTTAAATACACTGCCTTTCTTTATAATGATCAACTCATCTGGTAGGTATTCTCCAAGTCTTGGAACTTAAAAGCAGCTTTAAAAAAAATTTTTTTTTTCATTTTGTCTGGATGTGTTGCTTATACACAAAAAATTGTGGGATTTTTTCCCCTGACATTCTCTTTCATTTTGGTGGGTTGTTGTAGTCCAGGCACATTAAGATTATGACAAGCTGCTGCTGTTCATTTATTTTATATCAGTTTTTATCTCCTTCCTCTAAGTCAGTATCATGTCCCTGTAATTAGTTTTGCTTACACTACTTAGATGCTAATTTATTCCTGCAGGCTTTCCTTCTCACTCCCATTCTTGTTTGCCTGTCCTATCCCAAGTTCTTGGATTTACTTAAATTTGTAGTTTCTCTTTTTATATAATTATTTTTTCTTACCCATAGGATCATTGCTCTAGAGCTGAAAGGCACCTTGGAGTCATTCTAGTTCAATCCCCTCATTTTACAGGTGAAGAAATTGAGTCTCGAGGAGGTTAAGTGATTTGCCAAAAGTCACACAGGTAGTAAATGTCAGAGATTGGCTTTGAACCCAGGTCCTCTGATTTGGAATCAAAGATCATTGGGTTTTGTTGGGATTTTTTTTCACTATGCCACACCTCTTTTAACCGCTCTCTTCTGACCCAGCTACGTATTTTAAGTAATTTAATAGTAAATTCAAAATAAGTAATTTAGAATCTTTTTTCACCCTCCTTCTAACTTTTTAAGCAAATTGTTTAGCAGTACCTTTGTTCAAGAAGTTTTCCTTTGTTTTGTCATCCTCATTATTTTTCTTCTTCTTTTATTCTATTCTGGATTCTGTTCTTCTTTCCTCCTGAGGGTACAGTTTCTGGAGCACCACATTTGTACTCCTGGCTTCAATCCATTTCTGTGTTATTGTATTTGTTCTCACCCCTTCCTGCCTTCTTTCTGCTATGCCTCACACTTAGAAATATTCATTGCACAAAAGAAATTATGTCAAATGGAAAACATGTCATGCAATGGTAGGCGCTGTTTCCCAATTTATGAGGTTCCTAAGTTATGAAGGCCCTATCTTACCCCCCTACCCTTATCTTACCTCTATTCCTAATACCAGATTGTCTTGTCTTTTATTTCCTATGCCCACTGCTACTCTGGGTGATGACCATTCTTGGGGATTCTTATGTTCACTCTCATGGATTGAGATGCAGTCCTGTGGAAGGTAAACCACAGTTTACCTTTAGACCTGGTGGAAATGAACTTCTAACTCTCCTCTGTCTTTTTCTATCTCCACATGCCTATAATTTATACCACTTTGTTACCCATCACCCAAAAGATGTTGATTTACTTAAAGAAGGTCACTGGATTTAATCCATGGAATATTAATTCAGTTCTGCCTCCTTTCTTTCTTCACATTCTTTTAAATTCTCTGTAAATCTTTAGCATGATGATGCCTCTTTGTTGTTTTACCCCTCAATTTAATTTCTCTCTCTTTTTTTAAAGCAATAATCTATAAAAATAAGAAATGTTATTTTATTAATCTTTTCTTAATAATTATACTTATTTACCTTTCTTTTTATTTAGAATTTCTATAAGTTGGGCAGCTAGGTGGTGCAATGGATAGAGCACTGGCCCTGAAGTCAGGAGGACCTGAGTTCAAATCCGGCCTCAGACCAAACACTGGATACATACTAGCTGTGTGACCCTGGGCAAGTCACTTAACCCCAATTGCCTAACAAAAAAAAAAAAAAGAATTTCTATAAGTCAAATTTTCTATTCCTGTGATATTTTTGTTTTGTTTTTGCAGCTTTGCTTCATATCTCTCTTTTGTTCAAGGTCCATCTTTTTTTCAGTAATGATTAGGTTCAGCTTTTTGAGATATTTTGAATTGTTTCTTGACCTCCTTTACTTTTTGGAATGTCCTATTCTATTCTTTCCTCCAGTTTCTCATGACTTAAAAGTCATCCTGGGTTATTTGAACTGGTTTTCCTTTCCATTTAAAGGTCTTCCTTCTGGTTGCTTGCAAAATTTGTTTGTTACTGAGTTTGTGAAATTTAACCTCTCTTAACTTTGGAATTTTAAAAATGGGTAGGATTTTTTTTTTTTCTGGTGGTGATATGTGGATTTGATTCATCAGTGCTTTATTTTCTACTCAAATGTGCTGCACAGCTTTCTTGTGTTATTTTCTACAGTATGGTATTATTCAGGTTTTTAAATTTGTCCTGTTCTTTTATCTTTTAGGGGACTTATAATCCTTAAGTTATGTATGTGTATTCTGTCTTCAAGGTCAATTTCTTAGGCTTGTGTGGGATTTATGTGCATTTTAATGATGATACCTTTCGCTTTTTTTTCTGCCAAAATTTTCTTTCACTTTAATATTTTTATGTTCCAAATCTCATTTTTTTCTTTCAGAACCTCTACTTCTTTGGAGAAAATGTCTTCTAAGCTTTATACTCTGTTTTTGTTTAATTCTTTTTCAAGTTCTGATTTCTGACCTAATTTAATTCCTAATAACAGTTACTTCTTTTTTTAAATAATATGGAGTTGATCTTGTCTGTCATATAACCCAGAAAAGGAAATCTTTAAAAAAAAAATCCAAGCAACAATCTTGGATTCATAAGTTATGGGTTAATCAATTCAGAGAGTCTAGGTGGCATATGTATAATCAAAAAAGACAAGGAATAATGATTTGTTTTATGTAAACCAAGAAAATTTTTAACCAAAGAGTAATAATCATTAAACCAAAGAATAAGAATTAAAAGTTCCTCAAAAATTTTTAGAAAAATTTTTCTCATCAGTTAAGTTTTAGAAATCCAACTTTTATTTTTCATTCTCAAAAATTCTTTAAAGAAAGGATTGTGATATAGTCAAAATTGCATTGGCCTGAGGTCGATTTTAGTTTTGATCTTGCCATGACCAGTGTTGTCTCACAAATCACTAACCTTTCTAGACTCAGTTTCTTCATCTTTAAAATGAAGGCATTGGGCTAATTTCTCTGTAAAGGTTCCTTTTAGTTCTAATGTTTCTGATTCTATGAGAGGTATAATGTGGAAAATGAGCTATACCTGAAATCTGGTAGATTTAGGTTCAGATCTCACTTCTGGCACTAGTTGTGTGATTTTTTGGGGGGCACATTAACCTCTGTGAGCCTCAGTTTCACCATCTTTAAAAAGGGGATCATATTTGCACTGTCTCTCTCTAAGGGTTGTTATGGGATTAAAGTGCTTTGTAAAGCTAAAAGTAAAGTTAAAAGTGCCCCTTAAGTGAGTTGTTATTGTCCATATTAACCTTTTGCATTTTATAGAACATTACTTTTTATATTGAAAAATGCATGAAAACTTTAAAAATATCTAAAAAGTCCTTTAAGATCCTTTAAGGTAGTAAATCATCTGCACTATGTTTAAACTGTTCATAACTTAAATCTCAAGTCACTGCTCCATGTTTTACTGAATTAATGTAATGACTTCATAAACATAAAGAATGCCATATTATGAATTACCAGTGGTTGTACTATAAAGGAATTCCTGGGGAAACTGATAAAAATAAGCTTAGGTTAGCTTTTTATTTTGTATAGTTATTGAATGGTACTCAATTTAAATATAAAATATTATATCATGTTTTACATGATTGCACGTATATGACCTATATCAAATTGTTTACCATCTTAGGGAAGAGGAGGAGGGAGAAATATAAAATTCAAAATTTTGTAAAAAAAAAAAATGTTAAAATTATCTTTACATGTCCTTGGAAAAAATAAAATACTATTTAAAAGAAAAAAAAAAGATTGTATCCAAAAAATTTGGGGGAGGATATGACCAGAGGTATCTTTCATAACTATGATTAGAGAGAAAATTCTTAACAAAAATGAAGGCAAGTCATCTTACCTTTACAAAAGGTAAAATGGGTCATTTTAATTACAGGAAATTATAAGCTTTTGCATGAACAGTTAGAATAAGAATGGAAACTCTTAAATTGGGGGAAAATTTTTATCAGTTATCTCTGAGAAGGCCCTGACATCCTGACAGTAAAGGGAATATACAGTGAATCATTCCCCAGTGGATAAGTTCTCAAAAGAGGTATTATAGACTATTAATAATCATATGAAATATCTCTCTAAATCACTAGTAATAAGAGAAATGCAAGTTAATGACCAAATTTGATCTAGAGAAGAGTTCGTATAGGAGGGATTTGAGTAATAAATGCTATATATACAATATAGTTGATGTTTCATTGAACTGGATTTTTTTTTTCTTAATCTTCATTTTAGTCTTTCTTTAGTCTTTATTACAAGAGGGAGACCCACTGGAGAAGAGCTGGCACAGGGATATGAATGTGATGTAAAAACAAAAGACATCAAGAAAATGTAAAGATTACAAATTTTAAAAATTGACACCTTTTGTTTTTACATTATTTTTTTCTAGAGAGAAAGAACCCTCTTTTGTTTTGAAGAAATACATTTAAACAAAAACATCTGATTCCTCTGACAATGTATGCATCATCTTTCTGTCCTAGTAGTTCCTTGCCTAATAGTTCTTACATCTCCAGCTGCTTTAGTAGAAATCTCAAACTGGATGACCCATGTAAACACCTTAAACTCAGCTTATCTGAAACTGAACTTACGGTCTTTCCCCCAAGCCTTCCTCTCTTTCTGTCTTTCCTATTACTATGAAGGACACTGCCATCGTCCCAGTCACCTGGGATCATAACCTAGGTGTTATCCTCAGCTTCTTACTCTCACCCCCTAAATCCAATCAGATGTTAAGCCAAGTCCTGATTTTACCTTCCTAATATCTCTTGTATACCTATCTCTGCCCTTCTCTCTTTTAATATTGCTACCACCCTGGTTCAGGCCTGCTTCAAGTCTCTCCCTGCCTCAGTCCATTCTCCACTCAGCTATCAAATTGATCTTCCTAAAAGGGCAGGTCTGACCATGTCAAACCCTGTGCCTTGCCTAACTCCTCCCATTCAGTAAATTCCAGTGGCTCTCTCTTACCTCCAGGATCAAGAAAAATTTTCTGTTTGGCCTTCAAAACCCCTTGTAACTTGCCCCCTTCCTGCCTTTCCAATCTTCTTACCCCTTACTCTGTCTCCACTCCTCACACATGCTCTGCAATCCAATGGCATTGGTATCCTTGCTCTTCCTCTCATAAGGTACTTCATCTCTCAACTCCCTGCATTTACATTGACTGTGTTCCCCATGCCTGAAATGCTTTTCCTCCTGGAACCTCTTAACTCCCTTCAAGTCTCAGTTCAAGTTCATCCCCTCCAAGAGAAATTGGGAAGATTTTGGGCAGCTGTTAGTCTTCCCCTATCATTAATCAGTGTGTGTGTGTGTGTGTGTGTGTGTGTGTGTGTGTGTTTTAACCTACCTGTGAACGTGTTTTATTCCTTGGTGGGGTCATAGGAAAATAGCTATAGGCTTGGAAGAGGCCACAGAAGCCATCTAGTCCAGGGCTTCTTAAACTTTTTCCACTCGCTCCCCTTTCAGTGCTTCTTAAACTGTGGGTTACAACCCACTGTTCAAGAAGCCAGCCCCTGTATTTAATAGATGAGATACTGAAGTACAGGGTAGTTGTTTCTTGTCCAAAATAATAGGTAGTAAGTGTAAGAGCCAAGACTTGAACCCAAGTCCACTGACCCCAGACCCAGTGTTCTCTCCATCTATCCAAGCTGCCTTTCTTTGAGGGATTATTTCCCCTTAAAGCTTTATGTAAATGGGAATTGTTATTATTCATGGTAGAATAGCATGAGAAAATATTTTCTCAGTTATTGAAAGGATCAGTGTCTAGCCTAGTGCCTGATGTAGTCAAGTCAGCAAACATTTATTAAGCACTTACTGTTTGCCAGTACTGCTGAGGGTACAAAGATAGACAATAACAGTCCCTATCCTCCAGGAGCTCACATCCGAATGGGGGAGAGAACGTGTGGATAGCACATTATTATATGTGTTATTCTTCTCTAATGTTACTTTCTATTTACTTTGTGTGTATGCATACATACATATAAGGTAGGTCAAAAATAATGTCAAAGGGAAAGGCACTGCCAGCTTGAGGGACTGGAAAGGCCAAAGAAAGTGGGATTGGAACTGTATCATACAAGAAGGCCAGGGAAGCTAAGAGGCATGAGTTGAGGAGGGAGAGCATTCTAGGCATGAGGGACTAGCAGTACAAAGGCATGGAGGTGGGAAAGGGATTGTCATGTGTAATATACATCAGGTAGGGCCAGTGTTGCTGCTTCATAAATTACATCAAGGGGAGTAAAGTATAAGAAGATTGGAAAGGTAGGAAGGGGCCAGGTTTTGAAAGGCTTTAAACACCAAAGAAATTTATATTTGGTCCTAGTTGTGATTGGGAGCCACAGGAGTTTATTGAGTAGGAAGTTTGACATGGTCAGAACTATGTGTGAGGCTTTTCCTGATTTTCCCATGCTGCTAGTGCTTCCACAGAGAATTATCTCGTATTTATTTTTCTTATATCAATCAGCATGAACTTACCAAGCATCTACTATATTTTCTAGGTGCTGCAGATAGAAATACAAAGAATGAAACAATTATATGTTTGTATATACTGTCATCCCTGCTAGAATATGAGTTCCTTGAGGGAAGGAACTATTTGCTTTTTTTTCCCTATGTATTCCTACTACATAAGATAATGTTTGGTACTTAATATGTACTTTTCCATTCCATTATGCCTTGTTTAATGCTGTTAATTACGGATAATGAATCTGTGTAGTTGGATTTATCAAGGATCTGTACAATCTTAACATGTGCTTGAGTTTTCTCTTGTCTTTTTTTGCCCATTTTGTACGTTACAGTTCTTTATATTGTTGTGTTGTTTTTCTGAAGATAGTATTGATGTGGCAAAAAGTGATATCATTTGATTTTTCTTCAGGAATTTTTTTCTCTTTTCTAATGAGAGAGTTTAACTGTTTGGTATGTGTCATTTATTAGAGTTTGAAAGTTTTAAATATTCTTTTTAATGCCTTACATACTTCTTAAGTTATTATGAAAATTAAACAAATTATGTGGTCTTATTAAAAAAAAATTTTATGGGATGTCTTATGACAAAGAAAGTATTAAACTATGGGAGAAATCAGGCCTGATAAAACTGGTAGCTTATTCATTGATACATAACATTGCTCTTATCTTTGCTTAAATAATTTAGCAAATGTTACAACAAGATTGCATTTTGAGCAGAACAGAGACTTTTAATGGGAAGTGCTTCAATTGCTAACTCTTTAGAGAGCTGCATTTGAATTTGAGGTGGGTTTTTAAAAAATCCTCAGTTGCTTTGGAAGTACTTTTTTTTTTAATCAGGTAATCAGATAGTATTTAAATCTTCCTGTACCACCATAGAAAAGATGAGAGGAAATTGGTACAACATTTAACTAAAAACTGCACAGAATGTCATGTAAAACAAAAAAAAAATATATTTATCCCATATACTTCCTGATATTCAGATAGGTCACATTTTAATTTAATGTGAACATAATTTTAAGCTTTTTAAGCTAGGCAATGATTTTTGTTATGTGTGTGAACAAAAATGAGCTAGGTCTTGTTGTATATGAACTATTGATATGAGGCAGAATTATTTCAGTCTTCCAGTGTAGGGTTTGCATTCAGGTTTTGTTGTTGTTGTTTTTTCTTTAATTGGTAGTCAAGCTGGTGCTTTTTCTTGAAGACATTCCCCAATGGGAGAATCAGCCTATTTTTTTTTTTTTAAAACACAGTGAGTTATCTGCAAACCTCATTTTAACTGCCTTTCCTTGAATACCCTATTTTTGTTCAAATAAGCAATGTTGAAATTTTTAAAACCTAAAAGCCATTTCCTGCTTAGTCTTCTACTGTGTAGTTTCGGAGAGAATTTCCTAGTGCTCTAACTCTACCAGTAGTCTTACTTATTTTTTTTTTGATACTTGTTGGAAGAAACTGAAAGAAGGACCATCGTTTTCCTTTCTTTTCTCATCTTAAAGCAAAACTAGGTAGTAACTTTCCATCTACTTAGATTAAAGATGCAATCTGACCTTCTATCTATAGGTTGTTGCCAAAGCTGGTGTGACTGTGGAAGCAGCATTACAGGTTTTTTTCTTAGCATTTGTCTTTTCATCTTGACTCTCTGTTCTGTTCTCTTACTGCTTGGCAGAATGTTTTTGGCTTTTGTATGTGTCCAGCTTCACTTCTACAAACCAAGAAGTATTAGTGTATAGATTTCCCTTTCCTTAGGAGTTCTAGATGAAACTCATACAGAAATCAAGGAGTGTGACTTCAGTACCAACTCATTTTCCAAATTAAATGTCTGTCTTTCACTACCTGAAATAAAGCTCTTTATTACAACTAACAAAGTCCCCTAAAAGATCCTACGTGTAGTGTAGTCATATCAACAAACATTTGTTAAGTGTCTGCTGTATGCCAGGCATAAGACTGAGTTGTTTTAAACTTTCCTTTATTTAAATTTTATATGTGATGCGGGAATAGTCAGTTCTCTTTAACAGGGTAGCGTAGAGAATTGATTTCAAGGACTTGTTCAGTTTGCTCTTTTCTCTTTGGACTATGATCATGATCTCTCAGTTATTGGGGAGAATTGTTTATTCATGAGATGTGACAGAAAAATGGACAAACTCTTTTGTAATCGGGATGGCAGAAAGATAAATAGATGATTTTAAAGTTTTGACTTCTGGTTTTTTCCCCAATAATTTCAGGAGTGGATTAGAACAAGATGACATGAGAATTTTATACAAATACCTCACTACTTCCCTATTTCCAAGACACATCGAGCCTGAGGTATGGGCACCAAAATATATTGTGCATGTTTGGGGGGATTATCCCATTTTTTCTTATACTGTTGGTCATTTAATAATTTTGTAACATGAGATAGTTATTATATATACCAAGCCCCTGGCAAAAATAATTGTCAGAAAAATATGGTGATAATGATATTTTGTGAAAGGAACTGTATGTTTGGTTCTGATGCTGAACAGTGAATTTGTTACAGTTCTTTAATGACTATTAAAGATTACTGACATTTTCACCTAGTAGAGGATAATTCTTTAAACACTTCTTCTGTTTAATGAATGATTGAGCATTTAATGGTGTTGTGATATTGCCTGCTCAGCTTCTGTACTCTATTTAACTTCCACTATGCACTCATGTACTTTCAGGTAGCACAAAGTATTTATGCCATAAACATGACATATATTCTAAATGTTAAAAATAAAAGAAAACAAATACACTAAACTCTAAGGGGACTTAAGCCCTGATTTGAGTGAGACATTAAAAACTAGTTCAGTATTGCAAGCTCCTGTGCTCTCTATAAAGCCTCTATTTTGGCTTAATCTTTTTTTTTAAGGTCATGAACTTAAAACGTAGAGTTTATGTCAGCATGAGGGAGTAGAAGCAAACTAAAGGGGGAGTTATAGCACTGCACTTGAATAATTTACAAGCATTTCACTTTTTGCTCCTTTATACACCCATAAAAATACATGAAAACATGCATTTCCTTGAGGAATATAAATTAACACACTCCTCATCCTATGCAAACAATTTAGAAGGCATCTCATTTGGTAATGACTTTGTTACCTTATGTAAGGAAGCTCATTTGTGATCTCCAAGTGCCAAAGACATTACTTTTACAGCAGAAAATGGAAAATTAAGTTCATTAAGAAGCATCATAGCACAGTGAAAAGGTCCATGTGGATTTGGAGTCACAGGTCCTGAATTCAAGTTCTGATTCTGTTAGATTCATAACCCATGTGACCCTGGGCAAGTTCCTTAACATCTCTGGGCCTAATTTTCCTCTGTAAAAAAAAAAAATCTGTAAAATGAGGGTATTGGAATTCTGGATCCACTTCTGGATTTCTTCCAACTCTTCATAGTCTTATAGGATGGAAGATCTAGAGCTGAAAGGGCCCTCAGAGACCATCAAGTCCAGTCTCTTCATTTTACAGAGGAGGAAACTGAGACCCAGAGAAGAGAAGTGATTTGTGCACAAAGTCATGCAGGTATTGACAGAGGCAGGATTTTTTTTTTCAGAATTGGGATTTGAACCCAGGTCCCTTAACACAAATCTAATGCTCTTTCTACTCATGCTGCTTCTATGAGTCTATGATCTTGTGACTTTAATTATTGCTTATTTTTATTCATAAATGAATAAATTAGAATGTGAATTGTAGTATAGAATGAAGTTCAGTTCAAGAAATGTTAAGTGCCTTTTGTACAAGACACTTTGTGTAGGCCCCAGGCCCACAAAGAAAAAAACCTGGCAAGAAGAAGCTTACACTATACTGGGGGATGCCACACATACACAGAAGTAAATGTAAGGTAATTTGAGTAAGGAGAGAATATTAACAACCTGAGGAAGAGATGAGGGAAGGCTTTGCAGAGAATGTCACATATGCGCTAAGTCTTGAAGGATCATAGATTTAGAACTGGATGGGACCTCAGAGACTTTCCATAATCCTTTTGTTTTATGATAAGGAAACTGAGGCTCAGAGTGCTGCCCATGAGCATCCAGGTTGTAAGTTGGAATTTGGAAGGGAGGGCAGGACTTTGAGGTGGGGGAGAGAAGGGACAGAGGGCATTGGAGGCACGGGGACTAAGAAAGAGGGAGTGTTGAGTTTGCAGAATAGCCAGAGTCTAGTTTGTCGGGAGTGTAGTTACCATATCGTGATCATGATTAAAATCAATAAGGCCTATTGTCTTATTTCTATTTTTTTTTTTTTTTTACTTCTTGGTTTAAACTTAAAGCATGCATTTTCTAGAGGACTGTAAACTGAAACAAACTAGCACATGTAAATGTTCTTTTTTCATAGCTTTGAAAGCGGGGGAAAAAGCTCATTTGTAAGTCATTTCCCAACTTTTGACTTGTTTATAGTTGGCAGGAAGGGATTCACCAATCCGAGCAGAAATGCCAGGAAATCTTCAACATTATGGAAGGTAATTAATCCTCTGATGTACCCTTTTGGTTTCTTATTAACTTTTAAGTGTATTTAAAAATACAGTCATGAGCAGAATCAAAATGAATTCTTTTTGTGTTATGGAAAAATCCAAGTTATTTCTTGATGTGAAGAAATTTATACAGTTTAGAAATATTGTATTTGTTTCCAGGTCAATAAAAGAGTTTGTTGTTGTTGTTTTCTGATTGCGAGAAGATAGCTTATATTTTCAGACATGAGATTTTATCTTACTGTAGCTGTTATCTTACTGATATAGATAAAAGGATAGATATTTTATGTCAGGTAGGCCTTTAGAACCTAGTTGAAGTATATCTATGACAAAAGTAGAACACTTAGGGTTTTCATACAGTACTAGTCACTGAAGAAATGTCATAGTTTCCCATTTAAAAACAAACAAAAAACCCAAAAGTTGCTTTGTCACAATTGTACTGGCTTGACACAGTTCTAGTATTGCCCTGTGTTTTATCCTGGCTTTCAAAAATGTTATACATTTATGTAAAATGGAATATATTTTGCTGCAAAACGATAACTTGTCTAATGAATGTGAGTCATTTTTGTGCTTGCTTTTAAGATTTCTTACTGGGCCTTTGAACCTCAATGATCCAGAAGCAAAATGCAGATTTCCCAAAATATTTGTAAATACAGAGGACAGTTACGAAGAGCTTCATTTAATTGTTTATAAGGTAATATCACTATTTCCCCCTAAATATTATTAATCATTCTTGGGTATTGATATGTGTGAGCGTATACCCAAATGTCATATATATTTCTGTGACAAGCTGTTCTTTGGGATTGCTAAGCAGTGGCAATTATTTTTTAAAACTCCAAAATGTGTATGCATACTTCTTTGGGGTTGTAGCTAGTTTTCATGTATGTGTTTGTACGATATTGTATTGTCATTAATGAAGCAGCAGTTGTTAGGCTTGTCATCAGTGTTCCGTGTTCTTATGTAATTCATATAGAACAATCTTGAAGGCAAAGAGGATGGTGTTGCAGTCAAAGAATGATAATGTCCTGCTTGTCAGATACTGTCTCAATCTGGTAGCTTTCCAGATTTGAGCAAGTATCAGCTTACCTCCCTTTTTGGATTTTAATATTGGTTAGTGATGGTAATATAGTGATAGTAATATTGGTTAGTCAATTATATGAAAACTCTCCCATTGCCTTCATCAAAATGAACACTGTATTATATACCTTGAGTAGAATTTTATCACTTATGTATAGAAAAACATAGTGCTAGAATATATTTTTATTACTTTAAAATTTTTTTTTACTAATTTCTTTTAAGAGTTTAATTTTTAAGGGTAATTTTGTACATTTTATTAGGTTTAAGTTTCAAGACCATATTTGAAATATGAAACTAGTAGCTGTATGTGAGAGCATATAGTATACCTTAATGGATAAATAAATATATGTGTAAAAAACTTGTAAAAAAAATAACTGTGGATTTCACATTTTGAATTAAAAGAGCTACAAAATTGAATATATAGAATATTAGTTCTATTTTTAATTTCTATTTATATGAAATTTAGAAATATCATCTTAAACATTAAATTATGATTCTGCAGTCAGTAGGATTTTCCTAGAAATGACCTAGATAAAATATTTGTACTTACACACTCAGCAAAACAGCTACCACCACCACAACAGTAACAGCAGCAATGACTTGCATTTTTGTTAAGTATCCCCAAAGATGTAGTGTGATTTTAAGCTTTAGCAGTAGCTTTTACTCTGTAAAAGTGCTTGAAGGCTTGTAAAATTCTTTGCATATATTACCTCATTTGATCCTCACAACTGTGAGAGGTCAGAGCTGTTATTACCTTCATTTTATAGATGAGGAAACTGAGGCAAACAGGGTAAGTGACTTACCCAGGGTCAGTTGGTAAGTACCTGAGGCAGAATTTAAGCTCAAGTCTTCCAGCATTATCCAAAGTGACACCCATTGTGTCACTGCTGTAAAGAAATTACGTAAGGAAAAGGTGTAATGAAGGCTGCATGGAAGAGTAAATAAAGTGCTGCTTTTGAACCAGGAAGACTTGACTTTGAATCCTGCCTTGACTCCTGTGTGAAACTGAGTAAGTCATTTGAGTCTACTCCTCAGTTTCTTCACCAATAAAATGGATGTGATAATAGCATTGGCTTCCTACTGTTGTAGGGAGTAAATTAGGTAATATATATGAGGTCTTTGTGAACCTTAAAGTGCTATATAAACATTAGCTATAATTTTCTTCTAAGCCTTATTTTAATAACTCTTTTCAGGTATTTGAAGGGCTGTCAAATAGAAGACAGATTAGCTGTGCTCTGCTTGATCCTAGAGACTATGCTAGGAACAATTAGTGGAATAAACAAGACAGGCAGATTTAAGCTTGATGTAAGGAAAGATTTCCTAATAAACAGATATTCAGAAGGTGAATGAGCTGTCCTAAGAGGTGGTAAGTTCCCAATCACCAGGGTTCTTCAGGCATAAGATGGATGACCAATTGTTGGGAAATGAGAGTATGATTCTGATTTTCTTCTGTGACCACAGAGTGTTTTGAAGCACTGCTTGGCCTACAAGTTCAGAAGTCTTCCTTATGTGCAAATTTTCTAATAAAATTAGTGGCTACAGGTTAAGCAGGGGAGGAAAAGAAAAAACTGTATTCTGTAACCTTTGGTTTAATATGGCGATGGTTTTTCCGTCTCCTAGGCCATGAGTGCAGCAGTTTGTTTCATGATCGATGGTAAGTATAGCACTTTTATCTATTATCAGATGAAAAAAACACTCTGTTGCTTTCTTCTCCGATTAAAACATAAACATATAAATTAAATGAAATCATAAACATAGAAGGATATACTGTGAAACTCCAAATAAAACACAATTGTCCTAACTTTATGATCATTTCATTCAGGACAGGTTTTTCAGGTGGGTTTGGAAGGTAAAACCATCCTATTAATTTGGCCCAATGAGGGAATACTGAAATGGAGCTTATAATGTGTGTTTCTATCTTCATATAATGTGTATTTTCTTTCTTCATAAATGTTAGTAATTTTATCTCTTGTGTTTTTATTAGAGGAGTAAGATTTGATCAGGTTATTTCAGATTATTTGATCAAGTTAATCACTTTGTATCTAGCAAAGTGATTTGAATATTTAAACATAGGAGAGAAAAAATAAATGATTGACTTCTTTCACATGATATAACAACTGAAATAGAGGAACAATATTTACAATGTTTTTTAAATTTTTCAGCCTCTATGCAGCCTTCTTTGGACTTTTGTCGAAGATTGGACAGCATCGTTGGACCTCAGCTCACAGTTTTAGCATCTGACATTTGTGAACAGTACAATATCAACAAAAGAATATCAGGGTTTGTACTGTGCTTTATTTGTGAACTGTTTCAGACACTGAGAATGTGTATAACATTTCATTTTAAGTTTTATCTGGTATTAGTGCTGCACAAAATGGATGCCAATGTGTACCTTTCAGTGTTTTTCCCCTTGTTGTGGTGAAGTAAGCTGAGTTGTTTGCCTTTGCCCCAGTTTCCCTCAGGGTACTACACATTTTTGAGGGACTGAGTGGGATTAAGTGTGTGGCCTTTGACTCTTGAACAATTTTTCTTTTTCTTTCTTTTTTTTTTTTGAAACTAAGGGATTGAACCTATACTAGCTTCATTAGCACCATGTTCTTAATCACTTGAGCTAACCTAGACTATTAAAGGGTACTTTAGTTTTCACTGAGTTATTAGGACATTGGGCAGTAACCAAGACCTGTATGTTTTGAGCACTGTATCTGTTTAATCTGATATTATCCCTGGATAAAATAAAATATATTTTAAAATTATAGACAGGATATGGTGGTACACATCTGCAATCCTTACCACTGAGGGAAGTTGAGGCTAATGAATCCCTTGAGTTTGGGAGTTCTGAGCTGCAGTAGAGCTCAAGCTAGTTCGGTGCCTAAGTCTGGCACCAATGCCCCCGGGCATGGAGGGCTGAACCAGTCCAGGCAAAAAAAATGAAGCAGTTAAAGCTTCAGTGCCAATCAATATTGAGATGTATTGAGATTGGCCAGTTAGTGGCTACTGTGGTTTCAGCCAGAGTGAGATAGGAAGTCTCAAAAGAAATGCACTCATGCACTCAGGTAGGGAAAGGCTGTTAAGTCAAGTGGAAAGAGGTTTAGGATGGAAGTCAGGAGCTGGGTTCTTGGTTCTACTGTCATTAAATCATGTAATCTTCCTGTACCTCTTGGTGGGGGGAGTTCCACATGTAAAAGATAGATGATCTTATCTACTGTTCTTACCTCACAAGTTAAAATGCATGTAATCAATGGGAATCACTTTGAAAAATCAAAGCACTATGCCAGTGTGCTTTGGTTATGTTAATATAGATTAGTGTATCTTTAATGTTTAGATATTAGCTTCTGGGAGTTCAGAATAAGGTTAAAAATGCAGGTGTAAAAATATTTTTTATAAATGTATTGACTAGACTTTATAGAATTTAAAAAGTAATTTTTTGAGGGTATGAAGGGAAACTGTACATATTTCTTTCAATTCAGTCTAATAAACATATATTAAATGCCTCCCAGGAAGGGATCGCTATGTTAGGTTAAGTAGGGCACCAGAGGAAATTGAAAAGATCCAAGTATTATAATATAAAATATAAAGTGATAACACATGATAAAGGCACAGGAAAGAGTCAAACAAAGTGTAGTGTCAGCTTGAAGACAGGAAGGTGAAATATCATTATGGACTAGGTGGATGAGAGAACACTTCCTGGAGAAGGTAGTTTTTGAAGTGGGCTTTAAAGGACAGGTAGGCCTATAACAGACAGAGACAGGGGAGATGAGCATTCCAGGCACAAGTAGTAATATCCATTCATTCATGCAAAGCACTATGGGAAATGCTGAGAAAGATACAAAAATTAGATAAGACATAGTCTCTGTAGAATAAAATCCAGACACAGATAACTAGTACATAACATTACATTGTAAGTTCATTGAAGTGCTGTGAAAAAAAAAAGTTCCTTGTGGTGTCTGAGGGAGAAGGAAGAAGATATTCTAGACATAAAAAACAATTTAAGAAAAGGAGAGTCTGAAAGCACAGAGGATGTCAGTAGGGCAGAGAGTCTGGTTTGACTGGAGCATAGCATTCATGGAATGGAGTAAATGCGATGAGGCTGAAAAAGTAGGATGAGATCTGACTCTAAAATCCTGACATGCCAGACAAAGGAATTTGGGGAGCCTGAGCTAGGGCTGAAATCTGCCTCTTTGCATCTTATACCTGCTGTACCTAGTTTTGCCCTCTGGAACTGTCCAAAACACGTCTAATCTGTCTTTCAAATGCCATTACTTCAAATACTTGAAGACTGCAGTCATGTCTTCCCTTAAGTCTAGTCTTGAAGTCTTTCCCCAATTCCTTCAACCAGTCTTTCTACAACATTGTTTCTGGGCTTTTACTCTCCTGGTTTTTTTGTTTCGTTTTGTTTTCCTGAGCATAACCTAGAGCAGAGGTGCCAAATTCAAGTAGAAATAGATCCCTGAGTGACACATATTGACTTAGAAAACTACAAATGAACATTATCTACATTGTATTGTATTTTTCTTTATTTTGCTAAACATTTCCCAATTACATTTTCCTTTTTTTGTTTTGTTTTGTTTTTGGCTAGGTAATGAGGTTAAGTGACTTGCTCAAGGTCGCACAGCTAGTAAGTGTGAAGTGTCTGAGGCCAGATTTGAACTCAGGTCCTCCTGACTCCAGGACTGGTGCTCTATCCACTGTGCCACCTAGCTTCCCTCCAATTACTTTTTAATCCAATTCTGGCCACACTCGAGAGTTTTATAGATGGACCATGAGTTTGACACCTTTGTTCTGGGGGAGCAATAATATAAAGGCAGGAAAGTTTGGGGCTTGGACAAGGGAAGACAGTTTGGCTGAAGCACAGAGGGCATTGAGGAGAGTAGAACTAACCTTGCTAAGAAGTTTGAACTTTATTCTGTAGGCACTCCAATGGAGGATTCTTAAGTATAGGAAGGACGTGACCTCCCCGCATGAAGATTAATCTGGCTGTGGTTTGAAGACTAGATTAAAGGAAAGGAATGGGGTAGATGGAAGGCAAGATGGCATATTAGGAGGATTTGGTTAGTGTTGCTTTTAGCAATGGAAAGCAATAGAGAGAAAGGGATGGCTGCAGAAGCACCAATATTGGAATCTTTGGGCCCCTAATGAACTCTAGTCCCGGACCATGGAGTTATCACCATTCATTCATTTAGCCAATGTTTATTATTGAGTAAATGCAATTTAGAGTTAGAGAAACCCTTTTTCGTCCTACTACCTGGAGTGCGTTTTCCCATAGAAATGGTGGTTAGATTAATTTTTTGAAAAACTGACTTATTTAGCCCTTTAAGTGTACAAAGTACTTTATATATATTAGCTTATGTTTTGTTATTCCCATTTTACAGATGAGGAAACTGAGTCAGAGAGGTTAATGGTCACACAGCTAGTAAGTGCCAAACCTGAGGTGGATTTAATTCAAGTCCATACTGACTCCCAAGTCCATCACTCTGTTCACTATGCCATACAGCCTCTCTTAGTAGGAAAATATTACCTTATTCCATAATAAACTTCTGTATTTCTATTAGTATAGCACTATACTGCAAATAGAGGGGTTAAATAAGTAGGCTTTCATGGGCAACTCTGATAACATCCATTCTCTAACTTTTTTTGTATTTCTGAGAGGCAGGAGTAGATGAAAGTTCTCATCTAGTTTTAAGAAATGAATGAATCATAGGATTAAGTATTATCAGAAGTGGAAGAGATTTCACATGCCATCCAGTCCATATACCCCCATCTTGCAGTTGAGGATATGAGGCCCGAAAGAGGTTAAGTGACGTAAAGTACTAAGTGAAAGAGTGCAGATTTGCAGCCAGGAGCCTGAGGCTCCAAATCCAGTATTCTTTCTCCTGAATTTGGAGTGAATAGAATTGATTTTAGATTCTGCCTCCAACATTTACTGTGTGACAAGTCTCTTAACTTCTTGTCATCTTGGTTGCTGTTAGTGCAGTGCTTTCTTCCCTAAAATTACTTCATATTTATTTTATATGTACTTATATGTGTACATGTTGTCTTCCACCACAGAATGTAAACTCCTTGAGGTTAGGGACTGTTTCATTTTTATCTTTGTGTCCCCAGCTAAATAAGTGTTGGCTGATTGAGCTCTAAAAATGGGGATGGTAACAATAATTCTCATAGAACCCACTTCAGAGGATTGTTGCAAAGAGAATTCTAAGCAAACCTCAAAGCCTCATCGAAAAGTGAGTTACAGGAAAATATGTTCAGAGCTCAAAACTCCTTTATAAATTTTTAGATCTTTATTAAATTAGAAACAGTGATTTTTGATGTAGCTAAGATTATGCAAAAGTGATTTGCTAAATGAGCTAAATGAGCAATAAATGCCACCTGCCAAAGAGAAAAATGATTAGATATAGGAAAGATTTCTCTCCCTCTAAAACCCTACATCAGTTATTTGTAAGTAAGGCCTTGACTGTCTTCCTTTGGCCATCTTATTTTCCCAGGCTTCCCCTCCCCCTTCAAAAAAGAAAAAAAAAGGTAGTTTATCAATAAATTGTTTTAATGCTTCAGAAGAGAAATTATTTATTTGTTGTAAATATTCCTTCCACCAATGCAATACAAATTCTGCGCCTTCATAGGTGGCTTCATAAATTGCTATTGCCAGAAAAGGCATCAGCTGGGGATCAGCTTTCTGGTGGTTAGCCTTCCAAATTTGTACTTGGACGCTGTGTTAACATAGTGGATAAAGAGTTGACCTTAAAGCCAGGAAAATCTTGTTTGAGTTTGAGTTACACAAACAGTGTGTTATTGTCACTTGTTTCTATAGCATGGCTACTTTGACGCAGAAGGCGGCCTTTTGATAGTGTTGATTTCAACCTACTAGAGTTCCTAACTCCAGACACGGCTGAACATCACCTTCATTAAGCTTGTACGAGCTTCGACTTCAGAGGAGTGGCTATTGCAAGGATGTTCGAGGATTGGAAGTTAACCTAGTTACATAGTAACAGCCCTGTTCATGCCAGGGATACATTCCAGTGACTACTTTGTTCATTTCCGGGGGGGAGGGGGGAAATAATACAGGAGGTAAAGGGTCGTATTCTAGAATGTGAATTTATTCCACATCTCATTTCTATTGACTGGCCAACCCTTCTGGCACACTCTGGTTGGTAAGGGGGGTAGTTGGAATCACGTCTCTCTCTCTCAGGACAGCTCCTTCTGTCGTGATGTAGATGTCTCAAGAGCTGCTCCTGAATCAGTGCCTCCCCATTTCTAGGTGACCAGTCTTGCAAGCCCAGAGTGCT